ATTGATTTCGAAAAGTTTATTGATTATCGTATTCTTCCCCGTTTTAATTGATTGTAAACTACGTCTTTTAACTTAATTAGTTTAATTGTCTCGCATTGTCACTGAAATGCCACATCAGGGGAGTGCCAATAAAGTATTGTATTGTACTGTACTTTCAGTTAAGTTCGTTGAAGAGTTTCATGAGTGGCGAGATCTGAGGAAGTTGGAAATAGTCGATTCTATTCTAAGACTGACTGCCTGCCTGCCTGAATTGGGTAATGACGACGAATAAAAATAGATCTTCATTTTTCGCGTTCTTCATTTAAAGCGTCAAGTATGGAAGATAGCGCGTGAGCGCGACGTGACATTCTCCTATAACCGTTAATCGGTATGGCTGTGAAAATGTCATTGTCTTAGAAAGACATGAATATTTGGGGAGCTTACCGTTGCCATGGCAATTCAATACCAATATTTGTCATCAAGGATCGATAGGATTGTTTTCTTTCAAATTTCAGTTTGTTTCTATGAATTTACCAGATTTATAAGCTCAGATGAGTTGATCAGTAACAAATCTAAAAACCAACCTCATCAGGTGTTATCCTTCTTTTTTCTTTCCTCTCTTCACTTCTTGATTTTCAAGCTGTTTCATCTTGTGCTTATTTTAACTAAAAACGAGAAAACGGTGTGGCTATTTGCATAAATTGGTGAAAGTTTCTAAAGAAATTGTGGTGCTGCGTCGGTGGGGTAACAAGGTGGGGAGTGGTTATTTCAACTAAGTTGAAATTGTAAATTGCCACCGTAACGAGTTAAAAAGCTGACGTTTCGAGCGTGAACCCTTCGTCAGAGCGAAAGACGAAGGGCTAACGTTCGAAACGTCAGCTTTTTAACTCGTTACGGTGGCCAATTTACAATTTCAACTTGGGTTTGCAAATAGTCATTGGTTATGTATCAACTATCTTAGCCCTCTAACCCCTTAGAGTAACTAGCATCTAATTTCTCCTAACAATATCACCACTGAATCACATTTAAGGTCAGGAGAATTTAGGAAATGATCTCAGACTAAAGAAACTCTTGACTGTTAACAATTCTCCTTGTCAGCACCTTAGGAAATGTTTAGAGAACAGTATGGAGAATATGCATACTGATGTCAGGGGGTAAGATGATTACCTTTTTGTTCAGTGAATAATGAATATCAATGTCCCGACCGATAGCCACCACATCATGATGTATCGACAAACTCAAAATCGTTATCGAAATAAAGACATAAGGAAATTTTACGTCAATGACTTTGTAACCATTCTATGACACGTCAAGGATCACCGAGCTAACTTTGACCGTTGGCAACCTTAACCCGTTAACTCCCATGAGTGACCAGGACAGAATTTCTCCTTAACGTATCGATACAATCTCGAGCAGACGTGTGCTGAGAATAAAGAAAAATATCAATGAGGGGATCATTGGTCAAAAGTGATAAGGTCACTTCAAATTCGTATTTTAACACCAACATAAAGAGAGCAGTAATGAAGGTGACTTGCATTGAGTAACTGAATGCAAGTTACCTCAAACTAACGGTGATCGAAGAGAATCGAGATTGTAAAAAATAGGAATGATTTTAGTTGTAGTTTCCTTCATTTTTAGATTTGGTCACTTTTTAGCATTGACCAGATTCACAAGAGTTAATAAGTTAATTTGTCACAAAAATAACAAACCAAGTTTATCGCATCCTCTTCTTTGATCTTTCCTTTTAGCATTCCTTGTACCCAGGCTTTCTCATCCGATTTTCTAGAAAAAAAGGAAATACATCAAGAGTCCATGAAAACCTTTTTCAAGCGTGCTCGTTATAAATGGAATTCAACACATGTAGAGAGGGGGAAAACTTTGTGAGGAGCCTCCATATTTGATATTAAATGAAAGTAGAGAGACATAATTGATCCTGGTTTCGGTTATGTTGATAAAGTGACAATTAAAGAGTACAGCGACTCTTTTTCGGTTGGGAAGTAGGTGCACAGCATGTTACTATTATGTATTTTTTTCAGATCCCTGACAATATAAATATAAGAAAGTGATGCTTACGCGGCCTCTGTATGAGAGATGGGAATCCAAAAACTGTCCACGGCTACATAGTACGTTAGAACATTTTCACGATTACCTCCTGGGGTTGAAGGTAAGGGATAGAACAAGTGAGCTTAACTCATTGGTCCTAAGAGTGACAAGTACCTTATTTCTCCCACCGTAAGATTGCTGAATCAAACACAAAATTTATGAGAATTAAGGAAGTGATCATCAACTAAAGAATCCTTTCATTATCGAACAAATTCTCCTTGTCAGTGCCATTGGAAATATATAGAGAACAAAATGGAGAAGATGAATATTGATCTGAGGGTCTAAAGATTTAAAACACACTTTAAGGTCTATCAACTCACCATAGTCATAAAAGCTGCCGTGAGTTAATTTAACAAGGGCCACAACAAGAACGATAAGCTGTGTGTTGCTATCCAAATGTATCTTTCCATAGGTTATTTACCTGAAGAAAAGTCGTGACAAAGTAAAAACCATGAATCCTCGACATAGTATCTGAACCATTTGATCCAGAACAAGAAACACCCGTCGAACTGGACAAGAACAGACAGCATCCAAGGTAATAAGGTCGAAATTGCGTGTTTCTGGACTCCATAGACGCTGAAATTTGTTGTATTTCGTAAGTTTTACATTCCACGAGCAATACTGTACGCAAACATGAATACTAATTTTGAAAATTATTTGTAATTCAAATGAGTTTTCCGACTATAAAAGGCGGGGTTCAAAATAATCTACACCGAGTTCTCGGTCTGGTCCGTTCAGTTATAAAATGAAATGAGGAAATGCCTTTCTTTCGAGAGATTTTGAACTTAATTGAAGAAGTTAAGTAGAGAGATGACAATAGTGCTGTAATATTCTAGATATCAACTCGAACATAGATAGACTTGAAGTTAAAACATTTTGTTTGAACAGGATTTTTTTAGTCACTATACTGGAGGGGTAAAACCAGGATTATTTTTCGCGGGTCATACGCTATAGGTTAACCAGAACTCTGCGGTATACTGGTCTGCTTTTCTTTTTCATGGGCATTAAAGAAGCCATTTAGCACCGCAGGGGGAATGCTTCATACGCAGTTGTATATCTTTGGGAAACCAGATGCAATCCTTTCGAATACATAGATTCAGACTAAGATCGAGAAAGGATCGGTGAGATCGAAGTTTAGTGGACACGCAACCGGCAAAGCGATTGAAAAGTACCTCTAAAGACGAATGGTGGACCCTCTTTAACGCGGAAGGGTTTCAACGGTTTTTTGCACTGAAAATTCTTTTTTAGTTTGACACCTACTTTGCCCTGGCTGGCATGACTTTAAACATGCAACTTTTTATCTCAACTCAGCGTTATAGTCCAACATCTTTCCCAGGATATTTTTATTTAGACTAACTAAAATAAGGTAGGTGAGTATGCAAATGTATAAATATGTTGTGGTTTCAGAGCACTTCTGATACAGCCGGCCACCACATAATGCAAAATTTTCGAAAATTCCACTCAACAACGTACGAGAAGCGAGTTCAATTATATTCGAAATTTAGATATACAACCTGCGGTTGACGCCTGAATTGAGCACTTTGAAGCTTTTTTGTGCTTGATGATACCATAAAACAGCAATTAGAAGAGAAAATCCTTCAACCCCATCTAGGGGCGAAACGACCTTGGGCGAATCCGACCCTAGACGGTGAATTTCACCGTTAGGGCTTCGCCCATCCACGAGTTCAGTTCAATTACGCTAAACGTTCGAACAAAGGATTCATTCGATCTTGAACTGGGAACTCTAATCTGTCACTTCTTACTGATGTTTAGCTACCAGAGAAGAGAATTTCGGTGAAATTTAACCACTCAAACGTCCAAATTAGGATTGTATAATCAGCGAAAACCTTCTCTTGTGAAAACCCTTTGTCACAGTTGTTGGGTATCTATACGGTGATCATTTTCGACCAAAACCAAAGTCATCACAACGACCAATTGTAAGAGAGGAAAGTACCCTTGAGAGCCAATCAGAACTCATAGAAAAGCCAAGCAAACTGCCAAAAGCGCGGGAAAACAAGCAAACTGCCAAAAGCGCGGGAAAACAAGCAAACTGCCAAAAGCGCGGGAAAACAAGCAAACTGCCTAAAGCGCGGGAAAACGTGGGTGACCAAGTGGTGATTGGTTTTAGTTTCACATCTGATTGGTTTAGAGATTGTTGTTGTTGTTGTTTTTTTTTTTGGCCCATTTCAGGGCAAATCCAAAGCAGAGAAATGATGACTTGACACGGTGAGTAACAAGCGGTTACTGGCCGTTAATGATAACCAATGAGGGCGAGTACACGCGATGACTAGTAAATGTGGATGATGACTGGTTCCGGGGAATGAGTTTTGCATTATTAACTTATTGACTGAGTGGGAGGGCCGAACGGGAAAATTGGATCGTGGTCATAACGTACGGACAGAGCGAGGGGGAGGTTCGACCCTCGTCACCCAGAGCCAAATATTTTCCCCTCCGGCCCGACTCAGTCAATACGCATTTTACCTTACGATACCATATGTAGAAAATTTCAACCGAAATAGGACGCGATAGACAGGCACACGCAGCCACACGAGCACACAGAAAATTTTGTAATGAAAACTTTTCCTTAAGTTTTTCAAGTCAGAACAAGAAACTCTCAATTCCCTGAAAAACGCGACTTCTTTTTCGCATTTCTGTTTTCCTTAAGGTTTTTGCAATAAAGCAAAGTGACAGCAGCAACATGGGACGGCTTTTTCCGGTCCGACTCACGTCAACCCGCCCGACCCTACACACGTCAGCTTTCATTATGGTTTTCTATGGGATTGGGCGAGTGGGGCCGGGCAGGTCATATAATAAAAAACTTCTGAACATATGGGAATCCTGTTGGGTATATCGTTGACGCAATGACGGGGAAACTGCTTGCAGATCGTAACAAGCTGTTATGAATTGTACCAAGGACCCTTTTTTAGTGTTCTTTAATTATCATTGCATTTTATTGATTAATATCAAAAATTCGGAAAATTCACTTGTGTTAAAATATTTCTTGGCTTATTTGGGCTCTTAGGAAGAGAAAAATTCTGTCTTTTCTGAACCCCATTTTAAAAATACCACGGACTGCATGTAACTGGCTTGTACACGCTTGAATGGCTTAGTTTTCTCATTTGTTCTTCCGATATCCACCTTGACATCAATTAATTAATGCTCTTGTCAAGAAGTATTAATAAAATTTAGGTCCGTGAATATTGGATACGAGAATTAACATCGATTAAGGTCACTAAGATTATATTAACCCTAGGATATAAATTCTCTTGCCCATAATTTACAAATGCACGTAAACTCATTAGCACCCAGAAGCGATTAATATGTAACTTCTTCCTAAACTGAATATCCAAACATTATCTAGCAAACAGGTTATGATAGCACCAAAACTTATCAGGTAGAAGTTATCATCTTGATCTAACACCAGATTCTCGTGACTAGTTTACATGAAGGAGAGAATTAACAATCGGTTACCGGTAAAAGGTCAAAACCAAAATCTGACAGTTATAACGTGTCCACGCACAAAAAATCACATGATTGTTATAATTATTTACATTGTCTCACTGCCCTGCCCATTCTTCAAAATAAATATCAATGATAAAATAGATGCAAAATTTGCATTGAAGCAAATGACTGAATCAACTGAGGGAGACAGATTCACCAATTTTTATTCATAGTCAAGTTAACCCTCATAAAATTTACGCTTTCCTTTCACAAACAGCCCATGCTGTTCACAACTTCGCCACAGGGTTTCTTGACAGAGCTGCCTTTATCATACCAGCTGGCTTGTCTGTGGCCATCAGAATCTACAAGTTGAGAAAATCTTGAATTACACAAAGGATGGAGGTCATTCTTTTCAAATGCAAAATGTAGCAAAACGTTTGGTTTTCTAGCATCCCAAAACGATCAATCAAAAAAAATAAAAAAAAAAAAGACTTCATCTCACATATATTTAGATTTAGGGAGTCGACCAAACTGAACTGTCCGAAGTTAAAACGTGGACTGTAAATGGCGAACGTAACCATCAGAGTCTTGTCACGTGACTCCTAGGAGTTTACAGTCCCACGAAAACTATTAAAATTCTAACCTCATCCTTCTTTGCCATTCCAAACGGTGCCATGTTTACTGTGAAGTAATGGATGTTTGGCATCACCATTTCCACACAACCAATCTGTAAATTAAATAGCACTACAATTACATTCAAATGCAGAAACTTGCAATAACAGTTATGTCAAAGCCCTCAAATTTCCTTTATTCAGTAAAACTTGTTATTGAAGAGTTTATTTTAATGTTTGTTTCCCTCCCAGCTCAATTAGCTTCCCTATTTTCCGGGTAGGGGTTGTTAGCTATGAATTCAATTACTAGACTTCTTTTTTTTGTAATTTTTTCAGTGTTTCCAATTTTACAGCTAGGATGAAGATCAGGCACTGTGGCAAAGAAACTAGGATACAGAACTGGCAGCCTGGTCAGGATCCCGTTCCAAGCCCTTAACCATATGGGATCTGTTCTCCATTACCTGAGTTCAACTCGTTAAATGAAGCTTGTTCACAGGAACCTAATATGCTTCCTGCCAGTCAGGATTTTTTTACCTTTTTTGTCTGTATGTAAAATGTCCTCAATAAAGCCCTAGAGGATTTGGGTGGTCAGTTAAGATAATGACAATAAAGATGACAGTGTTAATGATGATAATGAGAGTTATCACATGGTTATCATGAGCTACTTTTAGTCCCTGAAAAAAGTGGACAAACATTGGATCATTGATCTTGTTTGTCAGCCAGTAAGTAGTCCATAAATGCAGATGAAAATTCAATACAGCAACTTCTCTTGGACTGGAATCTCAGGCTATCACCTGAGCAAACACTGGCTAAAGTTGTCACTTCACCTGTGGAATACTGCCCAAGATCTTTGCTTCTGCCTTGTATAAAGTATTCTGTTATTAAGAACAAACAAAGAAAATAAGTCTGTCTATGTCATAGGTCTACAAACTAGCAGAGTACCCCTTAAAGCTTAAGAAGAATCGGGGTCTCAAATATTTACCAGTACATACAACCCCAAAAAAATATGTTGAGGGGTAAGGGGGGGAGGGGGCTTCAATTTAAATTCTTTTTCCTCTTCATATCTGAACAATTTATGCACAAGTTTTACAGAATGAGACAACTCCTGTAACCAAACTGTGAGCCATTGCCCCATGGTCCTTATTAAATAATCATTGATACAAAACTTTGTACCAGCATGTTTATACTATATAATTATTATACTACTATCACATGATGAAACTGTAAAATAAATAAATATATAATTTAGCAATGGACATTCCACTGGGTGACTCTTATTGTCCACTGTATTTCTTAGCTCACATCTTAATCTAACCCATCATTTTCCTGCCCATAAAATTACTTTACCTAAGATGAGCACAAATTTACTTTGAATATGGTGGGTTTGTCATTGTGACTGAAAAGTGCCTCTGAGTTAAATCATCCACAACTCATAAAAGAGCCTGCCTATGGTGAGCCAACAAATTTCGTTCTCATCCTTTGAATAAAGGATGACTGGACTGGACTGACTGACAATGACTGGAGCACCTTTAGAAATAATATCATATACAAAAAAATAATTTTAGAAATTCCCCAAATTTTAATACACCATGAAAATCTACCAGCCCTGTAATGGGGCAAAAATTTTGTACATGGACCACTCCTACTGGTACTTTCTTTAGATGACCTACTCACATTCCATTAGTTATAACCAGTTCTTGGTTGTAACCAAAGAACGGCCATGAATACCTTCACTTACCTCTACCAGTACATATAATTGAGTTGATAAGGTCTTCTATGACATCACATCAACTTTTGATATTTTAATGTTATGCAAACAACATTATTTAAGACAAAAAAAATGCAGTTATAATACCTGTACAGAGGGTGAGTAGACCCCAGTGTCAGGAGGCCCAGCAAACTCCTCCAGTATTGTATTCTTGACAAAATTCCTTTAAAAATAATTTAAGATTGAGTAATAGCTATGTGTAAAATACTACTCAAAATAACTGCTTTGATCAAAATGTTACTAGAGACTCTGATCTGATTGTATCCTCTTTTGGTCCATTAAATATTTTCAGTGAAATGTCATACAAATCAACTGAGGTAGATTTCAATTTTAATGATAAGGCTCCCTTTTTCAACATGTAAACTCTCAGATATAAATCCCAATCTCCCACAAGAAATTCAAGCTGATTTCTACATGAGGAGCTCCACCAGTCAGAATTCAGAGATCTGATTTTTCTCTCCATCAACCAAGAGTAAGCACCAAATTAGTAAAAAGTTAAACTTGGAGATAAACTTGATGCCTCACCAGCAGGAAGAGAAGTCCACACCCTTTGTGGTGTCAAACTTGTACTGGCAGTAGACTTTGGTAGAGAATGGACGATCAGTAGCTTCTGGCAAAATTGTGTATTTGTCTTTACAAAACCCTAGAAGAAATTAAAGATTATTACCAAGTCATTTCTCTCAAACTTACTTATAATCATACAACTTAGAAAAAAAAATGCTGAACCTTTGTTACAAGTGTAGAATGACGTGCTAATGATGAGATATTAACCTTCAAATCCTGATTGAGTTGTTTTCAATATCTGCATCTCTTTGAGGCCACCCGACACCATTGGTTCCTCTGTACAAAAGACAAGACAGTGCCACAAATATTCAACTCTTTCACTCCCTAGACCTCATTAGTAATTCTCCTTTCAGCCTGCCATACAATTCTTCAGATGTTAGTTCTGAGAATTTGGAAATGAACCAACCTATACTATCCCATAATTTATATTTTCTTTACTCTCATCACTCGCCTGCTTAGTATGGTATTGATATTGTA